GCAGAGCCGGCTGCGCGGGCGCGCCCCGTACCGCCTGCCGCTGCCTCCCCTCCGCCCGCCCGTCCGCCCGTCCGTCCAGCCCGGTGCGGGGCAGGTCTCGCTTTAACGCCCGGGGCGAGCGGGCAGGCAGGCAGGCGCTTGGCTCTCCGGTATCCCCGGTGGGGGGAATGCGCAGAGGTGAAGCGGCTGTCGCTGTCGCTGCCGGGCGGAAAGCATCTCTCCCGGCAGCGGTCTCGGCGCCGCTCTCCCTCTCCCCGCCAGGCCTCTCTGTGCGCGCATCTTCGTCCCCTTCGGGCAAGGGCTGCGGCTTTGCAAAGCGCGGCCCGCCGGTGGCTCCGCTGCTTTTGTCACAGAGGAAGAAGCCTCCAGGCAGAGAGCCTGCAGCAAAGAACCCTGAATTTGAGGCTGGCCTTACAAAAATGCATCCGGGCGCTCTATGTTACAGCAAAGCGAAACGCGCTGCTACCCAGGTCACGCAGAAAACTGCTGCTGGAGGTTACACTAATGCAGCCCGCCTCTTCAAAGTGCTGTGCCTTGAAAACCGTGCGCCCTGCGGTCACGCTTAGGGCTGATGTGACCGTTAGCGCTCGGCGTGACCCCTAGAAATGTAATGAATGGGGCAGCGGAGGCCAGGCTGAGACGACAGGCCGGCCTCGCACTCCGCGGTCTGTTATACTCCGCGGTATACTGCAGAGCAAGCGGATGCCGTGCCAGCCGTCTTCATTTCCAGTTCAACTGTTAATAGGCTGTTTATTGGTCATGAATTCTGGCCACGGCATTCACTATACGTCATACAATTGTGTTTTTAAAAAATCCGTCTTTTCTTTCTAAAAAAAAAAGAGTTCAGCTATTTAGGTCTGCCTGATGATCGTCGGGCTGGAAATAATCAGATTGATGTTGTAGTCTGCTGCAGCTCTGAGGCTTAAAGGTGCTCACAATACCGGCAGCTTGCGATTTCCCTTAGAGATAGTTACATGTAGGGATTTCTAGCATGCCTGCTTTCTCTTCCCTCTTCCTGACCTGTGCATCAAGTAGGTGTGAGAAAAAAGAAGCACCATTAATACAGCAGCTACAACTTGAGAGGCTGGATGAATTTCTGGCTCCCCTGCAGTGGGGAATACATTCCCATAGGTTTAAATGGGGCTGGGATCTAGTGCATTGGAGGGAAATACGAACGAATGTACTGAATAGATACATTGCCAGGCATCAGTCCAGAACCTCTCCTGGCACGCAGAAAGCAGACCCAACCTTATAGCTACGTTTCTAACAAGTTGTGTTTGTGTGCACAGGTGTGTGAGAGAGAACTGTGACAATTTCGAGCAGACTTTTAAGCTCTGAAAGAACCTAAGACCATCCCAAATCTCTGAATTGCAACCAGGATACTCTGGCACTGGTATCAATAGCCATTGTGTGGTTAAGGAAGAAAGCATCCAGTCTTCCTGGGAGAACCACAGGTAATGAACAAACACATCAGCTCCCTTGGTAACTTGTTCAAACTCACAGTTAAAAATGAGTGTCTTATTTCTTAATGAAATGTGCCTCAGGTCCATTTTAGCTATTGGTTGGTGTCAAAATATTGTATGGGCAAGTAGCACTTCTTTTCAGTACTTGTTTGCATTTTCCCACATGGGAACCATTAAAACAGTGGTAGGTTGCAAAGAGTTAGAATTAGTGTGAAACACCCTATGCCGTTTATTTCGAAGGCAGAATCCACATTATTTTAGAGGTTGTCAGAAACACCGCCCAGAGGAATAAAATATCTTACAAGAATAAGTTGTAAGGTTCAGCAAAATGGATTGTGAAATGAACAGTGAGATAAGCTTTCAAACATTTTTTTTGTTCTATGCAGATGTTCCCAGGATCCAACTTAAATTATTTTCCAGCAGTTATACTGTCTTTCTGCTTATTTGTACACCTACGTGTTTGGTGATTTTCTGGTCCCAGAAACCTCAGAACTTTTGATTCCTTTGCCACAATGTTGATGGGATCATTAGTGATACCTTTGAATACTGCTAGTGAAAGCAAAAGGACATTTTACACCTTCCTCTGTTACCACTAAGAGATCAGGCTGGATCTACCTACTGCAGTTTCAGACTGCTGTTGTTGTTTATTATAGCTCACTTACATGGCTGTACCAATTTGCCCAAGTTTTTTCTTTGGACACCAAAAACTTATATTTCTCTTATATCTCTCTTATATAGTAGTAATAGAAAATCTTATACTTTTATTTGCTCCTATTCAAAAGTGTTTACATAGTTTCTCATTTTGAATCATTCAATGTTACTTGTTGATCCTGAAAACTTCTATGGGAGTTGATTACTTGATTGCATGAAAATCACTAGGAACAGTATTTATGGCTCTCCAGCTTGTGTTTTTGCTAATATCCCATTGACAGAAATGGCGCAAGGATCTGAGCACATACAGCAGTTAACAGATTCTAGCCTCAGTCACTGAGGGTATCTGTCACTGAAAATTTAAAAAAAAGAAAAGAGAGCATTGTAATCCACACAGCATGGGAATTATCTTCACATTCTCAGTTGTGTTTCTTATAAAGGAGTGTACACCATTTTACACATTTCTTTTTATTTCTGAAAACCATATATTTATACCCTTGTAGAAATTAACTATTGAACATATTTCTCAACTGTCCTATTACTATAGAATAATACTCAGTCTGTGGGAGGCTTTATTCCAAAAAGTGTAAGGGATGTTGTAACTTTCAATCTTACAAAAAAGGCTTGGGTGCCTTTCAAGAACAATTACTTAAAGCTTATTTGAAAAATAAGTCCAAAGTTGAGGCAAATGGCACAGTGATTCATATCTAGGTATCTTACAGTGCAGAGTGCAACACTGTGGCTGGTGTTCAGTTCCTCAGCAGCTGGACTGCACACCAGTAATAGTACCATAGTCACACATCAGTGAAGGTTAAAAAAACTACAGAAACAATTTTTGATCAGAACTCCACTGTACCCACATGCCTCACAAAGTAGGTCTCTCACTCTGTCTTTGGGTAGCACCAGTTTCTCTCAGTCCTGGCGTTTCATGATTAGCAGGTACTTAGTACTATATTCCCATTAAACAATTCCACAATAATTACATTTGCTAGTTCCTGTAACCAGGGACTTCCATCTTGTTTCTCTGATAAATGAGCTACTCAGCTTTGCTTAATGATGGCACACCTTGGTGTTTCTTGGAGGAGATACAAAATCACATTTGGTTCTCCTGAATCCGTATGATGTCATGACATCCGTAGGATGACACATGGGTAGTTCACTCATGTGTTCAAATACTGCAGTCCCTAAATTGGATATATATTCTTTGGGCTACAGAGAAAGACCAAGCATGTAGCTTAGGGGAAGAAGCATAAACGTCTAAAGACTTTTCCTGTATTTCACATTATGCAGCCCTTGTGAAAAGCACAGAACCTCAGAGGGGGCACACAGAAAGTGTATCATTCTTGCATACTTCATGACATAACTTCATTAAAAGGCAGAGAGGAAACCAAGAAACCATTGTTGCTTATAGCCTGACAGTTAAAACCTTGTCTTGGAAAATGGGAGTCTGGACTTTAACCACAGAAACTTTGATTTATGGACAAACGCCCAACCACTCAACTCTTATCCAAAAGCCAGGTGTAAGCACTTCAAGCAATCATTGGACATGGCATCTAACTCCAAGAGAGACTTAGCAGCTGAAGCGCCCAAGCATATATTGGCACCTCATCTCCTATTGGGATGCAGCTCACAGGGTTTTTCTCCTGACTTATTGAGGAAAATCTTCAGTCAAGGTTGATGGAATTAATGGACTCCAGTGTTAGACACTTTGTGCCATGTATTGGGCCTGAATATGTAGCTTGGGACTGAAGACTTTGTGATGCATCTTGTCATTCCAAATAAAAATTGTGGGCAAGTCGAAAGTGGGATCCAAGGTGTGTGAATCCTCAGACTGTTGTAACAAACAACTATACTGCATCTCTTTGGTCTTTTAGCCTGGACAGATAATAGCACTTCAACCTAATAATGATCATCTACATCTCCTCCTCCAGATACTACAACTTCCACCCCTTGACCAATGGTATTAAGTCTTTGTTCACCTAAGTTTCTTTATGTTTGTAGAGAGGGCTTTTTTAAGAGAAAACCTGGATCTGCAGCTCTAGTGCAAGTTTTGGGGCTACATGACTCAATGGCAATACCTCTCCGAGAAGGCTTAAGAGAAGAGAACATTTTGTCACACAGATCATAATAAAGATAAAAGGTTAATAACCCGCGTCAAGGAAACTCACCTTACTGAAATACAACATTGTGTTGTGTACTCCCAAAGTATTACAAAAGGGTTACTGCCTTTTCCTTTAAGCTTTTTATCATCTAAGGACTGCATCCTGCATGTGAGAACCCGAAGTGCCTCAGTTTATGATGCCTAAGAGTTCAGTCCCTTTTATTTCACATGAAGGTCTTTGAACTCTTGGAAGGATACCAATTGCACAGAAGAGACCTTCTGGGTTATAATCAAGAGGAAACGTTAAGTAAATATTTGTTGCAGACGTCACTCAGTTTGGTGTTTGGAAGCAATGCACCATCTAAAGCAGCAGTTCCCAAACTCTGATCTGGAAGATGAAGCTAAATGATTATGGAGCCCTACATCCGAGTGGGATGACTACTTCTGGGGCTGTGGAAATAGCACTGCAGCTGTTCCTCAGTCATATAACCTGGAAAGTGAGATTGATCCCTCAGTACACAACAGATTTTGCAGAACCTGCTACTTGCACAGTGATTCACAAAGAAAGCCTTAGAACAAATCACATCAAACATAGATCATGCAGTGAAACATCATCAGACCACAAAACACAGTAATCAGTGAGTGAAACGAGGGCACCACTTACTAAGTCATGCCATACATTCAAAACGCTAACTACTAAACAGCATGCATACTGCTGAAGCAAAAAAATAAACTGCACTGAAGAGCTGCAAGGCATTAAGCCACAAGGCACAGAAAGGACTCTTGGAAGAAATCAGTCTGATCCACTTTTGGTGGGAGGTCAGTACACTCTGCATGTGTTCTAAATAAAATATAAAATACTGACATTTCTCTCTGTGAGAAAAACACTTTAAGTTTCTTTTTCTTCGTATTTGTAGTTTTTATATGAGAAAGCTAAAGTGCTGTCTAGTCTTCTCTGCACTGACAATATTTACTGTGTAGATTTCTGTTTGGAGCCCTTCTCTTCTTTGAGGTTTCCTGTTTCAGAGCTGAAGAGCTCTTAATGCATTTTAGTTCCCAAGGGTTCCTAGGGTTATTAGTTTTGTTACCAAACTGGGCTTCTCTGCTTTAACGTCACATAGATTTTTGCAGTTGGAACATGTAACTCACACCTCTTTTTTTTTTTTTTTTTTTAAATGCTTAAGCCCTCCATGCAATTGTATTTTAGTACTAGATTCAGAGCAAGGACACTGGGACTCCTTTACTTCTTCCTAAATATTTCTAGTTAATGTTTGTCACCTAATAAGAAAAGGTATGAGTGAATTGAGATGTATAAGTAGTACTTCCTCACTATCTATAAGCTGCATCCTTACAAAAAATTTTACAGAATCTAACTAACTATTGGTAGGCATTCAGAGCAAGCATGTATGTGATGATTACATGGAGGTAAAGCTGGAGAACCATTCAAAAAGATTTCTGAGATTGCTCCTGAAGTTCAAAGAGGGACAATGTTTTTCTCCCCAAAGTTTAATTCTTCTCAATGTGCATACAACAGATTAAATCTCACCTGATATTGGGACTGTGTGTCTACTAACAAATACCCAAGGACTGCCCTCAGCCACAGGGGGCCAACCTGGAAAGAACAGTTTACATCCACATTATTTACCTTTTAACCTCCAGAACAGGCTGGTCATGTCTGAAGTGCCCACCATAAATGGTACCTTGCCAACTCCGGAATTGTGCACAGGCCAAAATCTGTGCCAGCAACTGTTCTACCAACTAACTGTACAGATGACTGAGCTGCAGTGCCCCACAAAGGCATTACTGAGTCTAGTGACACAGATGTAGTACAACCAGCTTAATGTTAAGCTTTTAACATAGTTATTTTGGTTTCTCTCTAGTCAATAATGTGATTCATTCAAACTTTCTTAACCACCTATTTTAGGATGAAAAAACCTCTAAACAAGTTTTTGACTCTCTAGATATTTTGGCATTAAGTCAAAAGTTTTCTGACTAAAGTACAGTGAGATGCACCTGGCATCACGTGGCACTATGGCTATCAAAACAAGTGCAAAGTAGGGACAAGAAAATATATAGAATTTTATGATGTTTAGCCTTGGGAGCATACGATGCTAGAAAAGCTGAAGCATGGTCTCTGCAAATAAGAACAAACACATTAAACATGCTTTCTTGTCAAGTCTTTTTCTTCTCTTGATGATCCAATACAAAACAAGACTGAAAACACTTTGTTTTTTAATGCACATGGCATTTTATACAACCTTGTAATAGAGTCATAATCATCACTAAAAACCCAGACTTAAAGGCATTTCCCCCCCTTTTTTGTCTCATCTCCAAGTATGAAGATGTTGTAGTATGGTTATGACTTGAGTAACCTTTGTACAACACCCCTGAAGAGTAATGAAGACTTCAGAACAGTCAAGAACAGTGTAAACCAGAAGCAGAATTTGACCTGCAAAATGAGCATGAACAGTAAAATGGATAAATAGAAGCTGCTTTAGAGTTGAGAAGGAGTTTGCAGAATGGATGTGTGAATTCCCCCCCCGCTTCCCTGCTCCCCCCTTGAATTTACTGTAGATCAGTAAGTTATGTTGTGGGGATAATTAACACAGACACGTCTTCTGTTAACACCTTACCAGTAGTTCTTCAAGACGTAAAAGTAAAGATTACATTTGCTCAATATGCACATAGGTGACATGACTATGTATTTTATCATTTCACTCTTGAGGTAACTTCAGATTTGCTTAGCTCCTTTGTGTTTTCCTTGTACTTTTAAGACTAGTTCAAGCTACAAATTAGAAATTTAGAATTAATGCTAGTCTCTAAACCATTATCTGACTAAGAGTTCATATAAATAATGCCTTCTGGTTCAGAGTGTTTGAACTTGGTGACTGTTACTTTGAAAATAGGATAACTGAATTTTGCATAGCACTGTTTTTCAGTATCAGGATGTTGTGAAGTACCAAGTCTTTCATAAAACCAGTATAATATTTTTCCTTTCCAATACTTATCTTTATTTCTCAATCTTTAGTTTGTTTTACTGAATTTTTTCAATTTGCCTGTTCTGTTAATTCAATTACATAAAAGCAAGTTAATGAAATTATATTACAAATATTGGTAGCTTAGTACCGTAGCATCTTTGGGTGGAACTTCTAAATAAGTCTACACTTTTTTTTGGTCTTGTACAAGTCTCACAGACTTGCCCAACAGGTCAGCCCTTACTTTCACATCCTTTTTCCTCCCACTGTAGCAAATGAAGTCACTTAAAACTATACAGTCAACACTTTTGCTCAAGGCATGCTGAATACCAAGAACATATTTCATGTTCTACTTAAGCTTCTGATGTTTTCAATTTACTGGAATTCTTCTTTTTAAAGAGGTAAGTACACATATTTTAAAGCATTTCAGGATCATCTATGATTTTAGATGCTGTAACTGTCACTTTTTAAAATATGAGATTTAACATGTCTTTCGCAACCTTTGTCTTTTACAAATTCTACAAGCAACGTGCTGCTAATCACTTAATTGTTCACCTGATACATTATCTACTTGACACATTTGCAGTCTAATCTGTTATTTAAGAATAGGCACAAGGAAAAGTTTCTGCCACTTAAAACAGTCACACCCTGATTCCAGATAGAGACCCCATGGTCCTTAAGGAGTTACCAGAGATAAACAAGCACTGACTACCTCCCTGACGCAAGAAGGTAGAAAACTACAGGGAAAAGTGGCAAAAGGAGGACTCTCTGTGAAGAAGGTACAGAAGCTGCATGGGGGAATTAGTAGAATTGGAGCTGGCAGTCATTAAAAGGAAAGGAACAGAATAAAGGCAGCCACTCAGAGCATTCAGGAAACAGAAGGCAAGAGCTGGATCAGGTAAGTAGTCACTATATACTGGTAAACTAGGAGCCAAGAAATATGGGGAAATACGGAGAAAAATTAAGAACAGAAAAATGCTGGAACAAAGAGTAATAAATAAACATTTTTCGAGGAACAAGCTGAATCTTAAATAAATGAATAATTCAAATCTGCATGAGTAAGTTATCCAAGTTCAGAAATGCATGTGGTGAATAAAAGAAATCTAAACCATTACTGTGGGTTTTACCTTATTGGACTATTACCTTTGAAGGGATCAAGGCAAACATTTTTATTTTTTTTCAACTTCAAAGGATAAAAATTATCTGTAGATTCAATATGAAGGACAACCTTCTACCATTAGCTGGCAAGATACAATGACCTACAGTTCTCCTTTACCTCGAGATCCTAGTGGGTTTTTATTTGTGTTTTTTTTTTTTAAAAAAACAAAACAAAACACAAAACCCCCCAAAAGACACACACACACACAAACCAGCCTTCTTGCATCACTTCTGAAGAGCACATTTCCAGTACAGCAGTAGTTTCATTTGTTAAGATCAAATGAGGTGAAAGGCACCAATAGAACATTCTTTAAAGAGAGACAGACTAGTAGCTTATCTTAGGTAAACATACTGCCACACAGAAGAGCAAACTACTTATATTTGTAAGGGCAGTAAGTGGACGTATTACAAAAAAGACTGGGGGGAGGGGGGAGGCAGAAAAAGGTAGGAAAAACTATGCAAATACCTTTGTCGTTGCGTACCCTCTAGTGGCTGTGCAAGGTTATGCTGGCCTCACAGTAACTGAGCAAGCAATTTCCTCAAGAAGACAGAATACTTACCTCTGCAATAGTTCTCTTAAATAGACAAAGATTCATGAGATCAGGGTTCTGAGCAGGCAAAAGTATGGATTATTTTAAGTGTTTAAGTTTACAACCAATTCTGCCTTGTTAGCTTAATCCAATGAAGCCAGGTTTTCCACTTAAAAAGTGGTAAAATATATCAAGCTATTCACATAGCAAATATTCAGGGCATGTGCCTGTGTTACTGTGCCATACATGCAGGCTGCATGCAAACTGCAGCAACACCATTAAGTTAAGCTGAGTATTAGTTCTCCAGAAGTTCTCTAAGGGTAGAAACAATCTGATACATAGGTTGCACAGACCACGTAAGAGCCACTTATACATGAAACAGCAAGGAATAGCTTAAGACTATCATACAAGCGTGCTTTAAACTAGAACAGGCTGTTTTGCCTCCATGTGCTGAAGAAGTGGATTACGTCAAGGACCAAAACTGTCATCCAGCACAAGAACAGTCTGCAACTGAAAAGCTAACATTTAATTTAGTTCAGCTTAAACAAATACAAAAGACTGTACTACAGACATTTAAGATAAACCCACAACCCCCCCTACACCCTCCCCTCCAATAAATAAAAGCAAAGGTCAGTATCCTAGTCAGGGTACCAAGTCCTCTCCAGGATGAAAAAAAAATAAATCCTCATTATGTTACGACTTAGCAAAAGGATATCAAGTGCATTCTATTTTGTTGATGGAACATGCAGCTGGTCAAATAGGAAAATAACAGCAGCCAGGAGAATATATAGAGTAGGTTTTTAGCACCTCATGTCTATTTCTTCATTAACTGAAGATCCAACAGCTAGTTGCATCATTCAACTAATGATGCTAGTCATTAAACAGTGCCAGAAAAAAACCACCCTGGCAACTGCTGAAGTGTTCAGTCTTCAACAAATCACTACACAATTTGGGAAAGAGGAAAGTATTTGAGGCCTATCATTATGCTGTGCCATATAAATGAGGTACTTATGCTACCATCACAACGAAGGCACAGGGTGAATTAATTAGATTATATACCAATACTACATATTCATTATGAGAAAAAAAATCAAAATATTGTCTTGAAATGACATAAGATAATAATGCATATTCAAGTTGAAGACTTCACAAAGAATAGAATGTACATAACAGATGTACAGCGTGTCAGCAGTAAACTGAATACCAGGCTACATGTACATAAACATCCCTTTTAATAAAAAGGAACTTTTATCTTCAGTACAGCACACAGAGCGACAGACCTGTCCTGTTAGTCCTCCAGACAACTATGAAATAATTTCCCTTCAGATACAGCAACTGAGAACTCAGCAACAAGAGAGCTCACTCTACTCTACAGATGGCAGGTGCAGATTTTCTCCTGTACTTCAGAAAAAAGCTACATGATCAGATAGCCTAGGCAGCTCTTCTTTTATGCTGTTCACCTGCATAATTTTTATAAGTGTACAATCATAAGCAGAAATGCAAAAATCCTTCTTCCTGTGTGGTTACAAGTTGAGTTCAAGAAGTTAGTCCCTTTTCCATTTTTGAAAACAACTGTATTGCTTGTCATTCATCCCCATGCCTGAGTTTTGCAATAATGCAGTACAAGCTTGCCATCACTTCCAAAACACTGCAAGAAAAAAAGAAACCAAAACAACAGCTGTTAAGATTATTCATGGGCTAGCACATACATAAAGCAAAACAAAGAAAAAAGCCCCCTGCCAGATAACTGGGTCATGGAATACTGTTATGGATAACAAAGCTCTCCATCATAACAGAGGCATGACAATGTACTGCATGTAAAGGGATGCATTTCCAGAGATTGTACGAAGTCATGTCTCTCTAAATCATATTCATACAGATCTGTGAATATCAACTACATTACATTTAATGCAAGATATTACCAGCATAGTTAGGGGCACTAACAGACTTCAAGTGCCAGAATTGTACTGACAAATTCTGGTAAGCACATTTGGAAAGGATATTTAAGATGAAAATCACCTCATAGAGGGTCCCAACTTCTTGGTCTGGAGATGGAGCAAAAGACTGGTTTACATATATGAACTGCAAGAAAAGAAAACAGAAGATGGGAGATCTCCCATAGATCACATAGAAGAAACACTCTGCAGCCAGAGGTGGGTAAATACGCTCTCTGTTCACCATTTATAATCTTTACAGTCCATAACAAAATACCACAAATTAGTATTTTCACTTCCATGTGGAGGGGCAATATGACTTCCAGGAGTCACCTCTGACTGGCCAACCAGACCAAGCTAAAGCAAGCATGTGGACTTCCTTCTCCTGCAAGTCAACCCATCAGTCTCCTGTACAGCAGCACAATGTGAACTCACTGGTTTTGTTACTGCTCTTATTCCAAGTATCCAAACCATTCCCGCTATTCTAAACTTGCTCAGCTAGAACAGCCATCACAGAACTTAGAATTTTGTTCTTTTTTGAAGTCATCCTTCTCACTTCCTGCTCCAAATGTATATACGCATATAGTAGCTAGTCCATAACGCCAGAGGGCCTTGGGATCTGCAGTGCTAGATGGCAACATGTAGTAGAGTATCGTGCTATTGCCAAAGAAGAGTTACAAAATTCCTAGGGCTCTGTTTCTGAAGTATAGCCTTAAGCTTAACCACAGTGGAAGACTCCATGCTCCTGTATTTTTTCCTGATATAATGAGATAGCAGTTAATGAACTAAACTGTTGAGAATATCCATGAATAGTAAATACCTGAATTATTACTCTTCTTTGAGATATTAAGCCTTGGGAAAAAAGAAACTCTTCATGATTTCCAGGTGAAAGAGATGGCTAGCGAAACTGTTTGTGCCAGTATGCTTAAACAACAGCCTCCAGACCAACAACAGATGGATTTCATCTATGCTTCAGCTACACATTTGACTATTTTGATGAGTCTAGCTGTAACGTTATATCTTGACTGAAAGCTTTGAAGTGTATGGATGTTAAGAGTTTACTGCTAATTGCAAAATTAGTACAATCATATTTCTGAATCTGTTCCAGCTCTTCCAATGTTATCAGAAGGCCACATGGGCTTCACAGGAAGGAACAAGTAAACAATACTGGTAATGTGCTGCCAAACTGCAAACGTTTCCAAGCTACCCATTTTAAAGCAGAAATCAGCCCCACGACAGTAATTAAACTGTTCAAGAAGTAAATTCTGAAGGAAACCGACACCAATATTCAGAAAGTCAACCCCAAACACTTTAGACTTTTTCCCAAATACTCCTTCCGTATACCCAACTTCTACAGTTACACTGTGCGTATGAACCTTTCACTGCAGTGCATCGCTGCACAACGTGCACACAGCTCTGCACATCCGCATCAGACAAGAAGAAACGGAGACACTGCAAAAAGGCCAAAGGTGGGAGCTGAGCACCCAAGCATACCCATGCCGCACCGCTACAGCTCATCTCAACGTTATGCTGCGGTGTGTACTTTGAAGAGTTTTGCTGGTGCCAAGTTTCCTGCTAAAAGCCGCAGTCTAGACTGAAGACAGTCTCCCTGCAAGGCGTGACAGCTTGGGCCCCGGGTGAGCGCAGCCCCCCGGCACGGCTGGCTCCTGGCCACCCCCGCCACACGCCAGGACAGGCCAGGCCGGGCCGCCAGGTGCGTGCCCCTACCAGCTGCTCGGAGGCCATCAGCTTGAGGAACTTCTTGATGAAGTCAGCAAGGCTCTGGATGGTCCGGGTCCGCTCCACGGCCCACTTCTTGGTCTTCATGATGGGGGTGTCAGCCACGGCCCTCAGCAGGATGTCAACTGCGGGGCAGGGGCAGGCGTTAACGCCGCTGGCGGCGGACGCGCCCCCCCGCTCCCTCATTGGCCGGACCCCCTCCCGCTCCCACGGCCGACTGGCCAGGGCACCTGCCCGTCACTGCACAAGCCCGCCCGCCCCGACGGTGACTTCTCGCCCCATTACTTTTCTTTTTCGTGTCGCCGGCGGGGTCCTCGGTGCCCGGGGAGCCGGCCGGAGGCGGGACCGGGTCAACAGCCCCCGCTGCAGCTGCAGCTCCGGCTTCCGGGGCTTCCTCCCCGCCCTCGCTTCGGCCCTTGATCTGAGGCGAGGCAGGCGGCTGCTCCTCCGTTTCCGCCATTGCTGGTCCCCGAGCGGCGGAAGTGACGCCAAGCGAGCCCGCTCGGCCAGGCGTTTTGTCCCTTGCGGGACGCCGCCTTCCCGTCAGGTGACGGGGAGGGGCGCGTCACGTGCGGCAGGAGCCGTTCCGCCGCTAACGGCCGCGGGTCGCCGGCGACGTGGTGCGCGTGACCCGCTGCCGCCGCCCCGAGAGCGAGGGGGGGAAGGGCGGGGAGGAAGAGGAGGAGGAGGAGGAGAAGAAGAAGAAGAAGAAGAAGAAGGGCAAGGGGCGCAGCGCAGCGAGCCCGGCGGCCGCCGCCGCCCGCCGCCGCCGCTCCCCCCCTCCCCCCCCGCCACCGCCATGATCAAAGCCATCCTCATCTTCAACAACCACGGCAAGCCGCGGCTCTCCAAGTTCTACCAGCGCTATGTACGGGCGGGCCGGGGCCGCGCGGGGCCTGGTTGCCGGGGCCGGGGCCGGGGCTGGGGCGGGGGGGGGGG